GCTTTTGCATAGTCAATGAAGCAGAAGTAGATGTTTTTCTGGAACTCTTTGGCTTTCTCTATAATCCAGCGCATGTTAGCAATTTGGTCTCTAGTTCCTCTGCCCCTTCGAAATCCAGCTTGTACTTCTGGGAGTTCTCGGTCCATATACTGCTGAAGCCTACCTTGTAGGATTTTGAGCATAGTCTTCAGCCATTCATTTGTACAACTATCTAATTGGATATAATTATACCATGATAGTTTAGTAGTTTGAAGTTTAACTATAATCTGATCCTTCAATCTGATTTTAATCATCCAATCCTTTAATCTAACCATCTCTCTGGCTTATTTGCATTTTCAAAAAAAAATTGCTTTGCAAATTTAAGCTTCTTCGCAGTTTCCTCAGTGAGCAATAATTTTATCTGATGTTGGAATTCTTTATCAGTCAATGCAGGGAGTGCAGGGAGCACAATAAGATAACTTGCATCACTGTCCTTACATGATTCCAAAAGGCAACAGAATTCTAGCCATTGTCTTACGTATTCTGGTATATTTGTTATTCTGCAGTGAACCCTCAGAAAGCTGAGCTCTGGCTCACGTGGAGCCCTTCCACCTCTTCAGAGCTGTCGCTTTTCACATGAGCAAAATGATTACATTTCTTCCTCATATGCTGATTTAACCCCTATTTGAACATTTGATTTAGCTGACCAATGCTCACTTGCCATGCGACTAAAAAGATTGTCATCACACACTTACTGCCCATTAGGTTGCTTCTGCTTTTTTTGTGCAGCTTTTTTATTGTAAAGCTTCAGGTTGCGATAGGTATTGTAGGAAACAAGTACCATACACTAGGAAGACAATATGAAGACAAAATCTGCATGAATAAGCAATATTGGGCTATTATCTGTTTTTTTAAAAAATACCTTTAAGCAGTTTGGGGCAGTATATAAACAGCACACTTTGCACCTTGCTTTTGAAAAATTAAACTTTATAGAGCAACAAGCATACACACTCGTGAAGCTGTCTGAAATTTGAGAAAGCTAACCTACTTTTTAGTGTCCACCATAACCATACCATACCTATGCAGGCATGAAAAAATAGTACAGTGGGTTTGTTTTCCCAGTACCAATGAATAGGAGAACTGGTGGTGATCTGGATGTCTGCATTTTGATTCAGATGCAGAGCATTGTGCAACTCGGGACTGAATCAATTTGGACCAAATCACAATCTTAACAATTTTACCAAAGCAGGCCCTGAACTAAATTGGTGGGGGCTGCATGTAGTCTGAATAGAAAGCTGGAGTATTAATTTAATAAATGAATGAATGAATGAATGAATGAATGAATGATGTCCAGTGGCTCTTAACATATGAGTCAACAGCTAATGTTCACTGTCACCAGAATCTTGCTGCACAACTTTATGCCACATGACCATGGCCATTTCAGGAAATTTAAGAGTTTCTTATTCTCCCCAAGATTCTGGTAATCCCTAGGGACCCCTTTTGTCCTGGGAAGCCTTAGGGAGTCAGCTTTTTGGTTCCCGAAAACCACCACTGCCAGTCCCAGTGGCAAACTAGGAGTAGCAGTGCCAATTTGGGGCTCTTAAGTTTGCTCTCCTATTCTGTGTCTCCCAAAGTCTTTTCCAAGGTCAAAAGGAATCTCTAGACATCCCTGGAACCTGGCGGCAGGGGCGGGCAAGAATAGGAAACTTTTGGTTTCTCTAAAATGGACATGGCTGTCATTGTTGTGCAATGTACATTTTCTCTGGAAGGAACTTATAATTGTTAGATGCAGAAGTCTTTACAGAGAGTGACATGGGAGTAAACCTCACTGAACTCACTCATTCAGTAAGTATATATATAATTGCACTGGAGAAATAGATATTCAAATATGGGTTTACTGGTACAAGAGGACAAGAATTTATTTAAAAAAATTAAGCTTTTGTGTATATTTCTGTGCTATTTATATTGACTGACTTTTGGGGATATGGAAGTATTGGGTGAGATAACCGGCTAAAGCATCATGTGATAGATCAGGCTTTCCTGCATTTACGTTTGACAGTGTCTAAGCCAGAAGAAATGGCATTTATTTACTTTGTTATTTTTGCAGGGGTGAAAGGAGCCATAGGGGAAAAAGGGGGAAGTGGTGAACCAGGTTTCCCTGGCATTCAAGGCATAAGAGGCTCTCAAGGCTCTCCTGGTTTAACGGGACAAAGAGGTAACATTTACATGTTTATATGTTGATGTAGAAATTATTGTAAGAAACAAAGAAAATGACTATTATTAGTTAATATAGTTATGAACATGCTTAATAAGTTACATAACATTACACACATCATGGTAAAATACAGTTATGCTTAAAATAATAGTGCTTAAAATAATACATTAATTCTACAAAGTAAAAGACTAGGTGCAGAATTCTCATTCATGATATATTAACGGGTGCTTAAAATACTGTTCTGTATTCTGAGATTTGAAAAGTAGTGCAAACTCATTTTGGAGCAAACTCAGTTTGACAAGATGGAGATGTTCTTTAATTTATTTTACCTATTGCATTTTTGTTGGACTTGTAATTGTTTTCCAGTGTTTAATTAGCAATTATCCATAATGAAGAATTAATAATCTGTAAACAGAATTGGTTGTATACTTCTCGCTTTATTAAGAAAACACACAAGATGATATGGACATACCAAATCTCTCATATATCCTGTATATTCATAATAATTTTCCATATGAAAGAAATCTTTGTTTAATGTATTCGCGAAGGCTTTCATGGCCGGGATCTAATGGTTGTTGTGGGTTTTTCGGCCTCTTTGGCCATATTCTGAAGGTTGTTCTTCCTGATGTTTCACCAGTCTCTGTGGCCGGCATCTTCAGAGGACTGGAGTAGGAACTCTGTCCATGCTCTGTTGGTGTTTGTTGGATAGTATTTAGAGCTGTGGGAACGGCTTTTTGTCTTTTTTTTTTTCAGGAGATAGGGTTTTTTCAGGAGCATGTTTTTGTTTTGATGAGGAAGGGGGGAGAAGGAGAGATTATCTGTCACTGTGGTTGATGGGTGTCATTAGCTAGTCTTTTTTGTTATGAAATGATCTCTGGCCCTTGTGGCTCATTGACCTTTTGCAGGTTGTATTTTTCAGAATGGGCCATCAGGTCAGGTTTAGTTTCAGGCATTCTTCTTTCCTGTTGAAGCTTTGTTTATGTTTATGGATTTCTATGTCTTCCTTGTGCAGTCTAACATACAGATTGCTGGTGTTGTCCAGTACTTCAGTATTTTGAAATAGAATTTCATGTCCAACTTGTTTTAGGGCATGTTCAGCTACTGCTGATTTTTCCAGTTGTTTTAATCTGCAATGTCCCTCATGTTCTTTGATTCTGGTGTGAATGCTGCATTTTGTGGTCCCGATATATACCTGTCCATAACTGCAAGGTATCCGGTATACTCGTGCAGTGGTGAGGGGGTCCCTTCTGTCCTTTGCTGACCATAACATTTGTTGTACTTTTGTGGTGGGCTTGAATACTGTTTGTAGGTTGTGTTTTTTCAAAAGTTTCCCCATGTGGTCCGTGCCCCCTTTGATGTATGGCAGAAATACTATATTTGTGGGTGACAGTGTTTCTTCTTCAGTTTGGTGTTGTTTTCTTGGTTTGATGGCTCTTGTGATTTCATTTTTGGAGTAGCCATTTGCCTTTGTTTACCTGGCAGTGCCAATGCTTAGTGCTTCCTTTTTTAAAAGAAATTATGCAATATCCAAAAAGTTATATGCTGTCTTAACATTAATTCTGTTGTGATTTAAAGCTAAGCAGAATGAAGATCATTGATTGTACCCATAGCCATGGAGGCCTAGCAACACTAAACAACCCTCTGGCCTCCCCTCCCATAGCACAATTGACCTAGCTGTTCATTTCTCCAAATTGCACATGTGCTGCCTGCATCCATTTTTATTTCCCAGTGGTGATTTGGAGCTTTTTAAATCTGTGTTTTCAAGTGCTAGGCATCACCATTTTTTGAATTTGAATATGGTGCCACCCTGGATTCCAGATACAAATGTATTTCTTTGCATATATATCATACATTGCATTCCAGTTTTGCCCGAATGAACTGATGACAGTTTAGAAGTTGCTAGCTTACACTTGAATGCCTGCTGAAAATTTGTTCCAGGGGGTTGATGGATCTTCTGCAACATTCCATGGGATTGCAGGGGGAAGGGGGACGTGGTGTCTGTGCCTCCTTTCAGTCAGTAGAACCCTTCCCTGGTTCAAAAGCTGTCTGTTGGCTGAATTTGATTGAATTAGGATCCAACCAAAATCAGTTTTAAGTTTGTTGAGAATATACAGTATTTCTGCTTTTGCATTGTCAGAGGAGTTATTGAGGAAAATGTGGTTTCCATTTCTAAATACTATTATTAAACAGGATTTTTGAAAACCGCTATTACTAAAGAATGACAAATCAACACAAATAGGAAAAAAATGATTAAAACGATACATGTAGAAGTTGGTCAAAGCCGCATTTGTAACATTTAGTCAAAGCTGCATTTATTACTATCAGCAATTAGTATACGTGTGGTTGGTTTAGATCATTTTTCTGTGATGCCTTAGGAAGTGCTAGCAAAGGTGATGTCATTTTAGAAGAGGATAATTTTTTTAAAAAAAGTCTTATTGAAAGGTAGATTTCCTCATGAATCAGCTGTATTTTGAAGAGTATTTTAAAGAAAAGGCATCTGTTGCAGAATAGACAAAGAATTTCACATACTAACAACAGGAATCACATATGTTGATCTCATCCTAATAATTGTTCATAGACTGTTTTTTCATGTGCCATTAAGTCAATTCTGAATTATGGTGACCCTTTTCAGGGTTTTCCAGGTAGAGAAAACTCAGATGTTGTTTCCCATTCCCTTCTTCTGGGCACCCTGAGACTATGCTGAAGTTATGCATGCATATAAAGCCTTTTGAAGCATATAAAGCATATAAAGCCTTTTGAAGTGTATTTTTAAATTAGCTAATTTTACTTTGAAGCAGCAGGTAGAAAAGGAAGAGTACCAGCATGATGGATATATTTGCTTCTTGATTTTTGTTTACTTTTGGAGCAAATAGTTTATGGTAAGTCCAGTCATGCTTTTACCATCATTTGATTAATAAAGTAATAATGCAGAGGATACTGAAATATTTATTCCACAGGACTCCCAGGACAAGTTGGGGAACGAGGTTTAGCAGGAGAGCCAGGTATTCCTGGATTATTAGGTGAAAAAGGAAGGTTTGGGTTGATCGGAACTCCAGGAGCAAAAGGTAAATGAAATTGTTTCATTATTTTTAAGAATATATTATTGTATTTTTGAATTTATAGAAGAAAGTTCTGTTCTAAAGTCTAATTGAAACACATCCTAAAATGCTTTCTGACATGTTATAATACACAAATCTTTTTATAATGGAATTATAATATTATAATGGAATTCCCAATGTGGTGTGGTAGACTAGGACTCTGGAGAACAGGATCTGAAGTCCCACTTGGCCATGGAAACTCACTGGGGCAGTGGAACTTCTAAAACCATTCCTTAAATATCTCACTTACTTTGAGAGCCCTATTAGGGTCTCTATAAATTGGTTCCAACTTGATAGCGCAGAGCACACTCAGATAGAAGTGTTGCTGCTGCTGTAATTTCCCCCCACCCCCTAATGCCGCTATTGGATGCAATCAAGGCAATGGCATGAAGGAAGGGAGTGCTTCCTTTCTCCCTCTCAGTTTAAAGCCCTCCTGATGAAGTTCTTCATGCTGTGGCCAAAAACATTCTTCCCAGTCCTTGTAAGGTACAAACCATCTCTGGCTAGCAGTCCTTCTTCCAGGGAGCTTAGCCCTTCATCCCAAAAACCAAATCCCTCTCGTCGACACAACTTTCGTAGCCAGTCATTCACTTAGAGTATCTTCCTTTCTCTTTCGATTCCTCTTCTAAGCACCAGTAGGATGGATGAAAAAAACTTTCTTGGCCCGAAAGGTCATGAGTTCCCTTCCCAGAACTTCAAAGTCAGATGTGATTTCTCGGTAGCTCTTCTTGGCTGTATCATTTGTTCCCACATGGACAAGAAGAAAGGGATATGTATCTATTTTATGAGGGATGGCAATCCTTCCATCATATCCCTTAACTGTCCTCCAGGGAGACAGCATACCTGGTGAGTCCATGGATCCTCCCAGCATATTTTGGTCTCAATTCCACGTAGTAGGGAGTCCCCTGCTACAACTACTCTCCTCTTCTTTTTGTAGGGTGTGGGTTCAGTGACTGTTTTCTGCTGCGCTTCAGCCCTACTCATGTCCTCCTGTGGGGTCTCCTCTGCATGCTGTCTGACAGACTCTCAAGTAACTGAAAGCAGTTTTGTAGTTCCACTGGGAAAGAGTGTCTTCTTCTTTGGCTCCTAACGGTGATTCTTTTTCATTGTGATTCCTCCACTATGTTTGCAGCCTCTACAGCATTTTCCTGCACTGCAGTGTTTTGGTTTTCTTCCATCAGCAGTGTCCCCTCTGACAGCTGCTGCTGCTGAAGAGTTCTATCAATGTAGGCTTCATCTTCCCTTATAGCCTTGAATGTGGCTACTCACTGCTCCAAGTCTGTGACTTTATCTTCTAACAGTGCCACCCGTTTAAAAAAATGTATATAGCATTTTACACTCAGGAACAAAGACAAACATAGCACAAACTTTGCAGGTAACTGAATTCAATTGAATTCTCTCCACCCTCCATAATCCCTTCTAGCTTTTTAACTTTCAACTCTTTTCTTTAGGATACCTGTCTCTCTTGTTTTGTTAGTTTAAATGTAGTTGTACGTATATCCATAGGAACCAAATAAAATTATTAGGGGCCTCCCTCAGCGAGCTCTCTGTTTATTATCCTGTTTGCAAGCTCTGGTCGCAGGCTCCCTGGGTCTGTCTTTAGCTTTATTTATCAGCTATGTTGTGCCCAGAGTCAGGAATCAAAAATTTTTTTCCAGTTTGTGCTATGGGAGATCACTTGCTTTCCACTGCCCTATCACCTCACTACCTGGCCCTGCTGAACATACAGCTAATATGCCTGTTAATGTTTTGGAGTTCTACTTCAGTGAAATAATTGGTTAAAAACGTGAAAGATTTATGTGATCTGAAGAGAAACCAGAGTATATAATTGGCTGATACAGATCCAGTTCCTTATCATTTCCAGGCTTGGGAAACAGTTTCCATATATATATATATTGGTCCTTTGTTACCTAATACAAATGTTGTGAACACTGGTGCATTGTTAAAAGCAGTAATAAACTCAATAAACAAGTTTCTTCCTTGTTTATATTTGCTCTGTGGTGCTGTCACACAAGATGGAGAATTACTGTTTTCCATTGTTTTCCATTGCTTCATAACTAGGGCCTCAACCTATGGCTTCAAAGTACAAGAAAGGAAATTTCAACTCAGGGCCTGATCTCACTCACTGCTGAAATAAACTGGGGAAGGGACTGGGTTGTTTTTTTTTAAATTCGGGCTAAAGTCATGAGGATTTTAGCCCAAATCCAATACTTTCGGGTCAGTATGTGTGTCCTCACCCCACCACACACTCTGCTGCTGCTACACCACCTCAACTTCCCTTCTTCCACTATTGCTGCCACCACTGCTACCTCACCCTCTGCTCCACTGCCATCACCACCTTGGTTTCCTGTCCATGCCACTACCTTTACCTCAGCCACCGCCATCACCTCAGCCTGCCATCATCTTGGCTTTGGCCTCACTTCCACTGCCACCTCTGCTGCTGTCTTGGCCTCCACCTCTGCTGCCACTGTCACCTCAGTCTCCCCTCCGCCACTACTGCTGCCACCTTCTCAGATTTTGGAACCGGGCACCCACATCAAGCAACTGACCAGTAGACCAGCTGCTTGAAGCTGCTGGACACTAGGAAGAAGCCGACTTCAAGCAACGATCTGGCCAGTCAGCTGTTTGGCACAGGTCCCTGGCCCCCACCATTCAGCTGATTCAGGGTTCCAAAAATCAGACTGTGGGGTTTCCTTTAAAAAATAAATTGCTATTTGGCATAAATTGCTATATGCCAGATAGCAATAATTTAAAATATAATGTGAACTATGTTAGCGCAAAAACGCGAAAGAACAGCAGGTTTAGCAGAGTATCAAACAGTCCAGGTAGTCCAGAATAACTCACGCACACACCAGCAGCTTCTCTTCCGCCAACGTGTATTTACAAGATATTTACAGCAGTTCAGTCTGGCAGCATAACAGGTAGCATTCATCACAAAGCAGGAAGATACATTAACTGTTCAGCTTCACATATAGATACATATACAGATCTGCTTGTGTCCAATCACATCATGCATGAGTCAGCACTGCTGAGCCATCATGACTCAGTTTTTTACACATCTGTTTATCATGGCTGCTCATTAATATACTTTATTCTGATCAGACCTGTAAATTTACCTTGACAAACTAGAGAGGCATTTACCTATGGAATTGATTTAAATGAATCAATTCCACATCTGCTCCAAAATAAATGGGCCTCTGGCAGAGGAGCAGAAAAGCTCCCTGCCACTGAAATTAACTCGATCCCACTGCATGTGTGTACTTCATGTGTATGCCAAAATTGAACTCAATTTTTTTCAGGAACACCCAAGTTAAAAATAGTTTTTATTGTCAGTGGGATCAGGTTCTTCTTCGTGGCCTCTGTGAATGCACACTAATGGGTTAAATCTGCACTTGTGCAGAGGCCTCGGAATATTCTAGAGCTTAAAGTAACACTTTTGGCTCCGCCCCCCAGGACCTCATGGTCCGCCCGTCCTAACAGTTACCTCAGTTCCATTTTTTCCACTGCTGCAGTTAGGTCTCCTGGCTAGAGCTCCGTGAAATTATTGGAAATTCTTGGAAAATATTTGGCTCCTGTTCGATTCTTCATTAAGGAAAGTACAAAGACTTTATTATTTAGGAGGGGAGGTGTGCGTTTTGGCCCTTTGCGAGGCTTTTCCCTCTTTCCCCCTCCCTTCCCCCCCCCCTTGGACTGTTCCCAGGCCTCCAAGGCTTCCTCATCTCCCAGGATTACTTTTAAAAGCTGCATTGCCTTGGAGAGTTGCACAAAAATCTTTGTGTATGCATTGAAGCGGCCTCTGCGTCCGCAGAACCCGACCCTTTACCTCATATATAACCTAGGGAAAAGAGTAAAGCCTCTAAAACTAAGGCCAAACCCTTAGTTTTATAACCACCGACCCCTCATTCTTCGGCTATTCCTAGCCTGCCACCACAGGCTTCCCCGTCCTTGCCTGTCCTCACTCCTCAGTCTCCTGTTGAGTTTCTTTCCTAGGGCTCTTCGCCTCCATCTTCACCGCCGTCGTCGGTCC